TATACACTCATCCAAAAGTTGGGAGATGATTGAAGATAGAGTAACGTACGACAAAAATGGTAAATTAAATTTAAAGTTTAGTTTAGTTTACATGTCATTTAAGAGATTTGAAATTTAAATTTTAATATTTAATTTAGATCTAAAATGCAAATATAATTTTACTGCCAAGCCTTTCTCGTTTATAAAAAGAGTTGCTCAAGCTTGCTCATATTTTAATTTAAAAAATAAAAATAATTTTTGTAATAAATATTAACTATAAAAAAATTAAATAATCAAGAGAATAAAGCTTAAAAAATAACTTTGTTAATTTAATTTGAAATTTGGATGAAATTGGTACAAAGAAATATATGGTATCAATGCGAACACATAGATTATTTAATTATATATTTATTTTTATATAATATAATTATAAATATAAAAATTTATAAAAATTATTCAGACATAAGTCTTAAATGTTATGCCCAAGACACGATTTGTTTTTTAAATAAATCTAAAATTTAAGCCTTAGATTATTCGACAGACCTAAAAAATTTATGCGTAAATCTTCTTAAATTTTAAGTTAACTTTTAAATTTAAACAGATAACTCAATTCTTGAATGAGTCTAGTTACGACTTCTTTTATTTTAAAAAAATGTAAATTGATTAACTTGAGAAACTTTGATTATCATTTTTTAATATAACTAAGGATAATAAGTATCGAATACTGACCTAATACTAAATTAAAAGTTTAACACTCTTTTAACCACTTTAAAGAATATTTAATGTCAAACGTTGGACTAACCTATTAATATTTATGTTTTTCTAAATGTTTAAACAGCCAATTCGCCCAGTAGGAATGCTCTTATCGCATCAAAAGTTGTTTTTTTTTTATGAATGGATCTTGAAAATTACTGTCTAAATAATAGGCAATAGAATCAATATGGCAGGAATTGTAATAAATCTGAACTTCTTGTCTGTTTATTCCATATTGGAAAATTATTGGACATCGGTCCCCACAGCATTTCTCAAATACTTTTATTTTATTTGTTTTACGTAGTTTTAGTGAAGATTTGAATTTCACCGTATCTTCAATATGATATAATTGAGCTTATTGCATCATTAGTTTAATTCAAATAAAATTTATTTAGTATAAATTTTTTAATAATTTTTATTATTATTTTAAATCTTACCAAAATTAATTTTACCATCAATTTAAATAGACCTTCCATCTTTGTTGTTTACTTTTATCTTGCATATTATATAAGATTTTAATTCTAATGTTCTTTTAATTCAATAAATCTTTATTGTAATTTTTTTAAAAATTTCAAGTGAAAAGTGTTCAAGGCCAATCAACAAGTCTCCTAACAAGAACAAAAATAAAATACACTCTTGCAAAATATCCTTAAAATTTTGCTTACTTTTGATTGAGTAAAAAATTACCTAAATTTGAGGATTCAAAATGTACTTCTTTCATCCATTTTTTTTAATCTCTATTTCATTTTCAAAGAGTTTAAACAAAAAAAATCAAATTTCAATGTATTTTATGTCAAATTTTTAAAAATTTTATGATATTTATATTTCATATTTTTTAATATTAAAAATTAATAAAATAATTTTATACTAATACAAAAATTTACTATCATATTTGAATGCCATATATAAAAGTCAATTGATAAAATGACAAGTCAAAGTCAATTATAAATTTACTTTTGTCTATTTCATAATTAATTAATATAAAATTAAAAAATTAATATATTATAATTCGTATTAATATTTTAAATATAAAATTAAAGCTTTTAATTAAAAATTTTATCGTAGTTACATCTTCGTAAATCTTTGTCCCCCATAAAAACTTCTCATGTCTTCCGATCAGTGCCGAGTGCCAACCGATAGCGGATCTGGAGATTTTACCGAAGAATAATAGGCTTGACCCATCTCGACACGTGTCCTTTTACATGGTAAATTGTTGGGAATCTCACAGCCGTTAATTCAGTACGGCACTGTTAAAAACTGTGAAAAGGTTTTTCACTGTAAATCATTTGGCAGCACTGAAACACCATCCACTCAGAAGCTGACATGTCATTATTCAATATGACATCTACTGTACACAACCCTGACTAACATTCCACTCCATTAGGGTTTTTCACAAAGATAATTAATTGTTATTAATTAATGCCTATGTTCTTTTTTTACCTCCAAATAATAATACTTTGCTAAGTAATTTTATATTCACTCTTTTATGGATGCAATATGGTTTTTTTTTATTGAAAATTTTATGTTCCGTATTTAATGTATTAATAACATAAATTTTAATATAATAATTTTTATATTTTATATATATTTAATAAAAAATAAACACATTATGAATACATAAATTATTAAGTTTTGATTTTATATTAGTAAATTTATTTCATATGTTTGAATTTGATTACATTTACTTAATTAAGCTTACATAGTTGGCTTACCATCCTTAATTTAATTTGAAATAATATCTATGATTTCTAAACTCAAGGAAATTATTGGAAAGAAGGAAAATTTGACATTTGAAAGATAGCAATTGATGCATGATTTTCTACACCAAAACATTGATGACTTTTGAATTAGCAATTATCATATTGATTTGGTGTTCTATTATATATTTTAATTTTTTTTGCGTTCTACTACGTTTTTATTTGACCAAAAATTCTTTCAATTTTTTTCGGAGGATTTGGTAATTGAATAATTTATTGAATATAATTTTTGACGAATAGCAAAAAATTAGATTTTTTTGCATCATAAAAATAGATTATCCATGTAAACATCCTTACCACCAATCCATATTTGAAAACCTTGTAAATTTTTTTCATATATATGTTATATATAATTTTTGACCAAAAAATCATTTTAAGATAGACTATTTGGCATAATACAAAAATCCAAAGAATTTGAATTCCAAGCTATCCAAAAAATAGCTATCTTATTCTAAGAATGTGATAATTAAATTAGAACATAAGCATTCCATTAAAATACAGTCCACATTTTTAAATTAATGTTGTGTGTGACAAGACTAGAGGATATGTTAAACATAAAAAATCAACCTTGATTTTCGAGTTAAATAATTCTATTAATAGATAGCACGTACGCATTAACTCTAACTTTTTATCATCGTTTCTTTTTCTTTGTTTTTCCCTATAATCTTTTATCATCTAATCTTCACTTTTTTCCCACAAAATTGTACAAATAAAAAATTTGAGGCATGAAATTTATCCATTTCATCTGTTAAGGTAGGAACGTAATTAATCGAATCTAAGCCAATACAGTATTAAATTTGAGTTAGAATTTGATTTCAAATTTAATACTTGAAACTCGATTTGAGTTCGATCAAATTTTTTTTTAACTCGAGTTTGACTCAACATAGAAATCGAACTATTCGAACTCGTTCGATTATGTTCAATTAATATATAAAAAATAAATTTAATTTGTATATTCGATAAAAATTTAATTATTGTGCTTGAACTCATACTCAAGTTCAAGATACTTTATTAATTAAAATAATAAAATTATATTAAAATATAAAAATTCAATTTGACTCACAAACTACTCGAGTCGAGTATAAGAATACTCAAACTCGACTCGATCGATAAATTAACTTACTTGAACTTGAACTCGACTTGATAATAATCGAATCAAATTTAAATTTTATTTAAGTCCAATCTAAATAACTTACAAATGCTAATATATTATTTACATCTCTAATTAAATGTTAACCAATGTCAATAATAACTATTACTTGAATCTAAATTTTGATTTAATTAATTTATATAATCACTTTTTAAAAATCATATTATAGTTCGAATCCAAGTAACTATAATCTTTTTTTTATTTTTTTAATTTCAAAACTTTTACATCTTACGTAAAAAGGAAAGCTTTTTTTAAGAAAGCATGTCAAACAAAAAGATGGAGGCAAAGAATAATTGGTATAAATTATTATAAAAATATATTTATTAAACAGAAAACACAAATGGAAAGGGATAAAAACAGCGGTTATTACACATTACCTATAAAAGGAAGGTACATATCGGACACAGCAGTGTTCCTCTACTAAAAACTTGACACGTGTAAACCAATAGGCCCATCTCTTTGAAGATTAGGGTTGAAGTTCACTGGACATTTCCAAGTTCACCAATTCAACACAGATACTAAATAGTAAGAAAACAAATAAAAACAAAAGCAAAGCTACAATTTACTATTCCATAATATGTTAAGTAAATGAGGAGAAACAATGTACGGCGTTACTAACAATTATGCAATTTATTAATTAAAAATGTACTTTTAATTTTGATGATCATAATTTAATCTTTGATAATTTAAAGTGGGAAACAAATTAAATGGTGTTATTTTTGTGCACATTTTGCCATCTTCAACCTAATTAAAGCATTCATCTTGATTTTTTTTCTTATTTAAGGGGAGTTTCAAATCTTATTTTTTTTGAAGAGAGGATCATGTATACACCAATTATTAACTCAAATATTTGAGTGCCATATGGTGTTTATTTATTTAAATCATAATTAATATGTGAAAATTTAAACTATACTCAAAAGAAAAAAATTTGAAAAAAATTAATTAAATATTATTGATTTTTAGTCTCAACATGATTCTAGTTAGATAAGCCAATAGAACAATCGAGATCGAATCATTTAATGTTCAAGTCCAACTTGAATTATATCAAGTTCGAATCATTTTAAATTTAAATCATTTGGAGTTTGAATAGTTTCGAGTTTGAATTTTTTTTCATGTAAGTTGAGTTTGAATTTAAATTAAAATAATAACAATGATTATATTTACATTTTTAATATTAAATTCAGATTATTATAGATTTTAATCGAGACGAAACTTTTTTTTTGTCATATTTTTTCACATTCGGATTATTTGAATCTTTGATTTTTTTACCAATGCGAATTTTTTTACTAAAAATAAAAAAATAAAACTCAGCATAATGTGTACAGTGTACGTCACTTAACATTTCAGTCTCAGGTTTTATCTCCATAAAAATCTCTCCTTTTCTTTCTTGGCATTAACTCTCTTTTATCCCTTCTAGTACACTAAAGAAGGTGAACCCACAAAAAGTTGTCTCAACTCTTAGCTAAGACTAGAAAGAAAGGGTGAAGAGAGGAGAGAAAAAGCAAAATGGGGAGAGGGAGAGTTGAGTTGAAGAGAATAGAAAACAAAATCAACAGGCAGGTTACATTTGCAAAGAGAAGAAATGGGTTGCTCAAGAAAGCCTATGAGCTCTCAGTTCTCTGTGATGCTGAGGTTGCTCTTATCATTTTCTCTAACCGTGGCAAGCTCTATGAGTTTTGTAGCAGCTCTAGGTATATTATATATTTCTTAACTCTTTTCTCTTCCTCATCAGTCTGTCCTTTTTTGCATATAAAAATATGCCATGCTTTCTGTGAATCTTATAATACTACGATTATATAGTTGGGGTCTTAGGTTTTGAGGTTTTTTTTTTTTTAATTTCATGCAAAAGATCTGTACTTTTGGTGAGCCAATCCAGTTTTTGAGCCAAGACAATGTTTTGTGTTTTTCCTCTTCATTTCTTTCCATTTTATGGTTTGGGTTATTTTGATCTTTTTTTTTTTTGGAAGTACAGCTTCTTGAAGCTATTCTTCAGAGGATCTGTTGTCTTTTTTTTTCTATTTCATTGTTGCTCTTCTTTAATTCTTTCACTTTCATTGTTCTGGCTCTAAAATATTCTTTCTATTTGTAAGTTCTTAATAAGTTATTAAAAAGAAGAATTTTCTTTTTTGCTGAAACAAATTTATTACAAAAGAATTTATTTAGATGGATCACTCTTTTTAACCTATGGATAAAAGCCCTTTATGAATTATAAAAAGTTTCTCTTCAATTTGTTTTCTTTTTATACAAAAAAACCAGTTTTCAGAAGTGAAATTGGTGTTCAAGATTGATGGTGGAATTAGGGCTCTGGCCTTTGAGAAGTGATAGATGAATGAAGATCAAAGCAGCTGCTTCTGCTTTGCCTGACCCCAGTTTGTAACAGGGTTTACTGTTATGATTTGGTGCCAGAGATGTGATGGTTTTGCAGTGCAAGCCTGTTACACTTTGTGGTGCAATAAAACAACCCTTTCAGAGAGAAAGAGGGGGGCTGCTTCTTTACTTCTAAAGCTGCAAACTAGTAGAAACCTCTTAGCCATAAGACAATTTTTTTGGCTGAATTTTCCTCCATTTGTTCACAAGATTGAAACAAAGCTTTTAAACATATTAAATTATAATTAAAGTTTCTAAAGCCCTGGCTAGGTCAGAAACTTTAAGTTTTTTATATAAAAAACCCTCAGTCAGCTCTATAAAACACAAGGGAAATGAAAAAACTTGAGGAAACACCAAAGCTTCTTCTTCTTGAACTGCTTTAAGAAATATAGAAATCAATTCCTGTAATGGTTTCAAGATGATCATTAAAGATGATAACTCTCCAACCAAATAGAAGGATAATTTTGTTTTTTGATACTTTATAATATATGTTTTTCCTATGATAAATGGATCAATTTTAGGATATGGTCTTCCATTCAAGTAGGTATCAATCTGATCATTTTGATGTTTGAGATGGGCAACTATTTATGAAGCCCTAGATGTTAAGCAAAGCAACTGTTAGTAACAAAAATTAAAGGCCAAAATGCTTTAAAACTTGCTCAAGTTTTTTTTATTATTATTATTTTTTTATTTGAGATTGTCAGAATTTGAATCTTAATTATTCCCTAAAACTAAGAATTTAAGACTCTACTAACATCTTTATATTATGTTTTCATCTTAGCTCTTAGTGCTCATCATTTTGTTAGTCCATGGAATTGAATTATCGTGTGCGTTAATGGTACAATGAAAATTTGTTTGGTTCATAATGCTGCAATGTACCAAATGGACTCAAATCTTCTTTCTCTACATCTTGTCTCATTCTCCATCCCCAAAATAAATATGTTTCGATGAGTGATATTTTCATTTGCTATGGTGTTGATGTCTTGTTAGATAACAACTATTAATATATTTTTGGAAGAGGCCAATTTTATTTTGAGCCAATCAACTAGCTAGTTCTTTATCTTTTTGTTTATTATTGCATCTAGAATTTCAATAACTTAAAAGGTCTAGTTGATGCATCAACCACGTTAATACCTACAGTCACTTTATCTTATTATCAATTATAGCTATTTTGTAAAAATTAAAAAAAAGAAAAAGGCTTTAGTAAATGAATCTAAAAGGTGAACAGAAAGTAGTACTTTTGGCTTCTATGATTTAGTTATCTAGCTATTTAATTATTTTAATAAATCCCCCAATATTTAATTATTTTTTGTTATCTAGGGACTTTATAAGAACTATTCAAGTTATTTTAGGTTTAATATAACATTGAAAATAGAGTTCTAAAAGAAAATTGTAGAGTTTTTTTTTTTTTTTTTGAGATTATCGGCAATTGAAACTTAGTCACCAGAATTAAAAGTTAAGTATTCTATTAATAGACCACGGCAATGTAGTATTATTAAAAGCAAGAAGTTTACACAAGTCAGCACAAGATCATAGGCTTGCCAAAGAGTTTCAAAAGCAGCCGCAGCCAAACTCAAGAGGTTCCCCAGTTGTAATCTTTAATGGCCACCTGAAATTGTCATGTATTAGTTTAACCTTTAAGGTCGAATGGTTATGAATACAGCCTAGGAATGTAAATACAAAAAAAACAAAAAAAAAAGTTATATATATATTATACAATGCAATAATGAGAAATGAGGATGCTTTAAAACTGAAGAACAGTTTGCAGCAATGGTGGATAAGATCTCAATGACTACATAAGCCTACTCGTGCTTGTAAGATTTTAGTATCATTTGTTAACTGGAGTTGCTTAACTTCAGTTCGTGTAGGATTGAAGTAATCTAAATATCTTATCATGCATGGTATCTATTAAAGATTTGAGATCAATAAGGTTGTATATGTATGCATCTTTCATGTAAAATGAATAACTGTCATGCATAAGTTTGGTACATTAATTGATTGTTTCATATCGTTCTTGTTTGTATGTTCACAATATATCCTTTTTCTTTTTCCCCCTCTTTGATTCTTAGCATGATGAAAACACTTGAAAAATACCAGAAGTGCAGTTTTAATGCACCGGACAACAGCCGATCAATCAGTGAGACACAGGTATATGGTGAAAATTTTCCTAGTGATTTTGACAGTCATGATGAAATAGTTCGTGCCATAGTTTGATATACTTTTTCTGTGACAATCAGAGCAATTATCAGGAATATTTGAAGCTAAAAGCAAGAGTTGAGGTCCTACAACGATCTCAGAGATAATGTAATATGTATCACAAGATATGGACTTTGGAAATTTAGGGATACAACATGGTCAAGTTGAATTATATATGATCCTCAAATCATTCTTTGGATTAATGCTGTAGAAACCTTCTTGGTGAAGACTTGGGTCCATTGGACTCAAAGGAGCTTGAGCAGCTGGAAAATCAACTGGAGACATCCTTGAAGCAAATAAGAACAACAAAGGTAAGACAAATTCCATCAAACAATATTGAAAATGCGTGCATATTTTATTTTAATGCATTCTATGATTTCCGTCTCTACAATTCAAACTAAAGTTATCAGCTTAGATATAAATGTTAATAATCTTAACTAGAAAGACATTAAGAATTCAGTCAGAAGCTATGACAAGGAATCAATATGCAGAATCTTTTCTTATTGAACGGTGATGAAATATTGATGCCAGGCAGTATTAAATACACACTGCTTCTGTCGTTTCAACAATTATTGCTTCATTTGAATGATCATTTTAGTGATAAAATGACGTGATAATGCGATAAGAATATTATTTTATCGACCATCAAAATGAAAAGGAAGTATATACTATCTTCTATAAGTACCCAGACCAAAAAAAAAATCAACTTCAATCCATCCAAAGATCATTTTATTTGGTACAGTTGCAAAAGCAAAATTAAATGTAGCTTTGGGATAGTACATTAAGCATCTTAGAAGTCAAAATGATTGAGCAGACTAGAAATAACTTTGATGATAACTTTTAAATCATGAGAATAAAGAAATGAAACTTCCTTCCCCTTAGCAGTGTCCATGGTTGGCCTAGGTGCGCTCCCAGGCTTTATCTGTACCCAAATCCTCCCTTAGACTTCTATTTTTTATTATTTTTTTTCTAAGCCAAAAGAGTTTATTTATCAACCAAACGGTTGCAAGACTAGCAAAAAGCTAGTAAAACAAAGAATCCAGTTCTTACAAATTTAAGATAGACTGATAAAAACTGTCTAAATGATAACATTAAGAGAAAACACCAAAAAAATTACACTAGCTCTCCCTAAAGAAAACATATGATCATATAATTACATCATCAAACAACTAAACACCAATATAATGGCAAAAAACTTCAATAAACTCTAAGCAAGATTAGCTTATAATTAATGGACTGCAAACCAGCAAGCATTTGCATAACCACCACAGTGAAAAGAATGTCCATGGGTTATAAGCCATTGCAAAGACCAAAAAATTCCAATTCAAATAAGCTATCTCTAATAATGTCAAAAACTTCAAATTTTGCTCCATTGTAGACCCAACAAGCTCATAACTCAAGTTGAAAACCTCCAAGCAAGCTATTAATAATAGAACAAGAAAACACCCATCCATTAGACTGGCATTTGTTTATCAGAAGGCATTAATAGATGCAAGAAAGCTACTTTAATTTTTAATTGAGAACACACTACTTTATCCCTCTCCAAATTTGTATGTATTTTTTGCTTGCCAGCTTCAACAAACAAACCCATTACTTAAACCAATAGTTGAATTGATAAAGTACCATTCCCATCTAAAAATAGTCTTTACAATTCAAATAAGCTCCACACCAATTGAATTGTTGTAACTCTAAAACCAACCAACTGATCCACATCCTTAATGTAGCCAAGCAAACTTCTTGCTTTCAGTAATAAGTCAATCAACTTGCACCACCACATGCCATCATTAACAAATTAAAAACTCTAGCTTCATCAAAAGAACAAACCCTCTTTGATATGCAGTAATTGTGTCCCTTAGACTTGTATTGTGAATTGTAAAATTTAATATTTAATATTTAAAATATATAAAAATTAAATTTAAATAAAAATATGTTTTATTTAATAAAATTAATAATTGCATTGCATCTTGCTTAGTTATACAAGATTTGGGTTTAAAAAGCTTAGCCTCAATTTGGCATGAAATGGGCCGGGCTTGCATGGGGTAAACAAGGCAATAAACAGGTTATTTTACAGCAAATGAAAGAAAGATGAGGTCCAAAATGTTTCCCACAAGTCAAGAAGGTTTTAGCCTATGGTAAAAGTGACAAAGGATTGGGCTGCAAAGAGGACAACGGATTTAAATCTTAATAACAATTTTATTATATGGAAGGAAAGTGCATTAGCCACTGTAAAAGGTGCTTGATTATTTTATGAAGTCCTCCCCGAACCCTTTTCATAAAAACATGCATTGGGATGCACCATTTCTTAGAGTGTCATAGAGACAATGCATGATGACAATAGTACATTTTGGCTTCCTATTGGAAAGTAATTTTCACCAAGCCGCCAGCCGCAGCGTGATTTTTTGATAAAATGTTAGATTTTTAATTTTAATGATCAAAGTTTCTTTTAAATGCTCTGCAGACTCAGGCCATGCTTGATCAGCTCGGTGATCTTCAAAACAGGGTATTAATTTATTCTGATGCTTATGTTATTAGTCTATGGTTCTTTATTTCATGCTTTTGATTAATTTTATCCTCACTTCTGGTACAGGAACAAATGCTAGTTGAAGCCAACAAATCCTTGGGAAGGAAGGTAGCACTTCTCAGCTTCTGCTGAATTTTAATTCAAGATTTTCAATTTCTATTTCTGAGAACAAGCTCTGATCATCATTATTGACTTCACCCTTTATAAATAAGGACCTCATTTTTACTTGACTCATTGAAGATATGGCCTTGAATCGACTGAAGATTAGTTTAGCATTAAGATTGAAAGTGGCTTTTGTATTAAAAACTGCTTTTATCCACCATTAATGCTAAATAATTAAAAAAGATTTTTCATTTAAAAGTTTGATTTGCAAAATCAAATAAAAAAATTCCTAAAAAATGTGCTTTGACTTTATTATTTTATGCATTATTTTTTAACATTTCAATTTTGCACACCACTTTTCCACAAGCTAAACACTTAAAATTCTTAAATCATATTTTCTCACCATACTTTTAAACACACTTTTTTTTCAATCCAAATTTTTTCCAATTAAAACAACAATGCTAAAACAACAATCCTGTCTAATACAATTTCAGATATCTGGGTCTTCAGAATTCATCATTTGCGTACGGTTCTTAGTTTAGTTATTTATATTTGGCTGTATTAATCCTTGTTCACATAATCTTTCATTAGTTGGAGGAATTGAGCGCACAAGTTCCACTTCGTCTAGCATGGGAAATTGGAGGGACAAACGCTCCATACAATCAACTCCCAGCTCAATCAGAGGGATTTTTCCAGCCTCTAGGGGGCAATTCCTCTTTGCAAATTGGGTACCCTTTCTTTGAATCAAGTGCATTTGACCTATTAATTACCTTGTATAATTTGGTTTAGTCACCTAATGTTGTTCTGTCATGTTGCAATTTTACTTTTGTTGCAGATATAATCCTGTTGTTTCAGATGAAATGAATGTTGTAGGGCATAACCAAAATGTCAGTGGATTCTTTCCTGGATGGATGCTCTGATTTTAAAACCCTCACATATCAGTTTGGTGATTTACTGGTAGAAACATTGACCAGCTATTGCTACTTTTATTTTTCCTTCTGTGGCTGCTTTTATCTGTTTTTATGCAACTTGTAATTATTATGTTTTTATGAAAGACCATAAACATATATATGATTCTAAGTTGTAATGACATAAATAACAGCTGTTTCCCTCTATATTTATTATATATATTAGAATTCGACTAACGGCTCATTGCAAGATTATTTTTTAAAATCAAGAGAGAAAAAAAAATTTTATGTCAAATTTTAATAAATAATAACATATAATATATATAAATGGAAGTGTATTTATTATTTTAATATAAATTATAATTTAATTATATATAAATGTATTTTTTTAATTAAATTAAGATATTAAATAATATTTTTATTAATATAATATATATATAAATTAATTAAATAATAAAATATATTTTTAGATATGTCTCGAGAATGATCGAAATAAAATATCATAAACCCAATTTCGACTTGATTCAAATTATTTAAAAGAAAAAAATTTACCTTAATCTTTATTTTAAAAAATCACATTGATTGAATTGTAGCAATCGAAACTCATTGAACATAAATTACTTTATTTTCCCTACACCTATTGATTTTTTTTTATAAAATTTATTTAATAAATAAAATTTTAAAAAACAAGAAAATAACAAAAAAGGCCATATGGAGTACTGCAAGAATTTCTTAAATTAATGTAGTAAATAATATTTTTAATAAAATACATATATAAATATATAATTAAAAAAATAATAAAATATATTTTTCAATATATACCATGACCAAAACATAACATCCAAAACCTTACTTTTATTCGAATTTGATTTTAAAAAATTTAACTCGATTATCTCGAATTAAAAAAAAAATGCATCAATTGGTTCAAGATGAATCAGAATCCACCAAATACGGGTTATTTTTTCATATTTATCTCAATTGACTTTTCATTACAAAGTTTATTTAATAAAATAAAAAAAAGTAAAAAAAATCAATAAAAAATAAAAACCTTAAAAAATAAAGAAAATAAAAAATAAACGAGAGGAAAAAGTTGTTATGTGAACATCTGAAAACATGATAGAACACTTTAAATTTATTTCCCACCTGATTTCATTTTTTAAAAAGACTTCAATTGTGCTCAATTGTTTTAAAATTTTCCTATGTTAGATCGGTGCATGCCAAAACTAATTAACTACATATTATTTTATCATCTCTATATCTATTAAATTTTTTACAAAATTTATTTAATAAAAAAATAAAATACAAAAAAAAAAATCAAATTTAATGAATAATAAAAAAAAAAGAGAATGAAGGAAGGATGGGATCCCACGTGAACGCTCTCTCTTTCCTCTATTCTCTACAAAATTAATATATTAGATATGCTTAGCATGTTTTACAAATCTTTTTTACTACTTGTCAAGGTGTTTTCATTGAAATTTTTGTTATTTGTTATTTATTTTTTGATGAAATTACTAGTACGGGAGAAGTCATAAGTATAATTAAATATTATATTTATATATAAAAAATCATTAAATAGTTAACCAGCAAACTAAAGTATAATTAAACAAATCTAATATAAAGTTAAACAAAAAAAAAAAAAACAACAAATGTGTTTAGATTAAAAAAAAAGGAAAACACTAATGTTTTGTTAATGATTAAAGATAAAAGATGTATTATTTTTTTACATAACGAAAGACGAAATTATGGGCAAATGTAGGTAAAAAATTTCTTAATTTCTTCTTTTATATATATATATATATATATATATATCAAAACAATCACAATTTAGGGATAAAAGAAAATATGTTAGAATTTAAAATTCAGATTTATCAAAGATTACCTATTAATAATTATAAGAATTAATTAAATTAAATTTCAAATTAAAAAAAATCACAATTTCACTTCAAACATCCAAAGTTATTTAGAACTTAGAGAATAGATTAAATACATGTGTAGCTACCAACCTACTCATGAGAAGAGGTGAGAAAAAAAGCAAAAAAAAAAAAATCAAAAATTGATTTGAAGTTTTTTATTGGGTTCGAACTATTTTTTTATTTGATTTGCATTAAATTTGAATATTAAATAGATATTAGGTATAGATTAAATTTTTAAATTTAAAAAAATTAAAAAAAATTAAATCAAATTGAATTATAAATTTTTATTAGTTTATATATTTTTTAAATTTTTATAAAATAAAATAATTATTTTATATCTAAATCTATTTAAATAGATTAAAAATCATATTAAAGTAATACATAAAAATAAAAAAATAAATTTAAAAATTAATTAACCGAACTTATAAAATTTAAATTTTTTTAATTTTAATAAATTATACATTATTTAAAATTAATTCGAACTTAATTCAATTCAAATCGTTATTATTTATACTCACGAGTCTATTATAAATTAAATACTAAAAATTAGATATTTGGAAAAATAAAATTATGAACAGATATATAAGTTATAAGAATGTTGAAAATTAATTGTACTTTTTGCCTACTAATTTGCACAAGTAATATAACTCTAATTTCTCCCGTTTCTTTTTCTTTTGAAATGTGATTCATTTAAGTATTGAAAAAAAAAAAAGAAATGGTCCTTTTCTGGACCACATGTGTAAGTAATACTAAAAATATTAAAAAAAATTCAAAAGAATAAAATATATTATGCAAGTGGATGGATTTATTGATTCCAACGACTATCTCACTCGTGGGCTTGGCTTGATTCTGACTCTGACTCATGCCATGAATAAGATGTTTTGAGAACTTTGACTTCATATTATTTTATTAATAAAATATTTTGTTAATTTTAATTTTGAGATAAGGAACAAATTTTTTATTATTATATTTATGTGACTGCTTCAAATTTATAATCAATCATTTAATTTGTGTAATTTTCTCACCATAATTTTAATTTTAAAAAATAAAATTATCATCATATTTAAAATTTTAGAACAATTGAAAGTATTCAGTAAAAAATTTTATCAGAAACTATTTTAAACTTCAAAAAACAATTTTAAAAATGATATGGTAAAGGAAAATTAATCATGAAGCTAAAATTCAAAATTTTTTATTTTATTTTTCTTAGCTCATCATGGTATTTTTACTGCTTATATTATCATGTTATACCTTTTCAATTGATCTTGACATTTATTCCTTGTTATGTTTTTTTTTTTTTTTTTTTTGAATTACAGAATATTTCCTAATAGAATTTTTTACTAAATATTCTTTAATTGCTCTAAAATTTGAAATATGATAGTAAAATAGTAAATTTACTCCAAAATAAAAAAAAATATAGTGGTAAATTTTGATAGTTTAAAGATTAGTAATAAATATGGACCAATCACATAAATAAAATAGTAAATTTATACCTTATCTTTGTAATTTTAAAAATATATTTTAATACTAATTTAAAAACATTTTAAAAATAAATAAATCTAATTGGGTGGACTTGAATGGAACTCAAATTCAAACATAATATTTAAAAGTGTTAATTAAATTTAACCCAAATATGATCATATTCTTGATTAGACACTGAAACACCTCTAAACACACAAGTAGAATTTAAAAAGAAACAAAAGTATTAATTAAACTTTCAAAAGATGAAAAGGATATTCTTCATAATTTTCCTTTTTTTTTTTTTTAAGGCCATTGTTTTCGAGACTTTTTTGATGGAGGAAATGTTGGGTATGAATGGAAGGAACAAATGGTTTGTCATGTTTGGGTAACCATTCTTTTTCCTCACTCCTTATTCTTGATAAGTCAATCAAAGCCAAAGTTGAAAAAAAAAAATGCCTTTTCATTTGAAAAGCCTGGATTGGGCCACACACAAAGCAATTAAAAATGGTTCAACACATTCCCTCTTTCTGTTTTTCTATTTCCTTTTCCTTTTCTTCTTTGTTAAGTATTATATTGATAAAATTGTTAAGTAAACTGTATAGGACAACCATGTATTTCTCTGTTTTCCCATTTGCTTTCTCTCCTCTTTTCCTTTTTGGTGTTATTTCAAGTTGTTCACCAAAAAGTAATGAAGAATGGATCATGCACGAAGAAAAAAAATGGTGCACGTGCCAATAATTATGTGATTTATTAATAAGATATTAAAATTTTAATTTTATTAATAAAATTTAAATTTTTATAGTTTCAAATAAAAAATGATCAAGTAAATTTATACCTTATCTTCTTTTTTTTTCATTTGTTTGTAATTATTAATTAGACATTCAAATTTCATATTATGGTATTGCCTCTTTTATTTAGCCGGATGACAAAAAGTTTATATTAATAACTCAAAGTTATATATAGTTGTCCCTTGCGAGTGTAAATCATAAAAATTACGGATAAAGATGGGATCAAGTTGGTTGATACTTTTTTTCTATATTATTATCATTTAAAATGTTATTTAATATTTTAATAAATTTAAAATTTAAATATTAATACTTACAATTTTTTTTATATTTCATACCTTGACTTTTTTATTAAAAAATTTATGAAGAGAAATAAGGTGAAACGAGGACAATCTTAACATTCCCATGGCTTTGTTATTAGTCATTGGTTAGGATTTAAAAAAAATAATTTAAAAATATAAAAAAATAAATTATATGTATTAATAAATCTCAAAGTTTACTAAATATTATTTGTAAGAATGATCGGAAGAATTATTTAAATTTATTTAATTAAGACTTTAATTTTGAGAAGAAAATAAAGTGTATCATTATAGTAAATGTTAAAAAACTTATAATAATTGTCATAATGTATAGATACGTAAAGTTATCGCTAGAAAATGAGTCGTCATCAATTTTTTTTATTTAAATACGATTGGTCACTTAATTAAATCTATCTCATTTTAAAGAAAAATCACAAACTTGCCTGAGGTATTTTTAAAAAGTAGATTCATGTCTGTGAAACCAGAACTAGGTCCAAGAGTACAATTAGATATAAGGAAGGTTATAACTCCTTCACAACGTCCATCGAATAATGATATCAGTTTAATTTCATATTATCCAAGCCTTAAAATATTTTTGAATTTTTACCAAATAAATTTTAATTATTGAAAATTAATCTTAAATTACTCCAATCATTTGGTAGTGATTTAAGATAATTTTTTCATCTTAAGAGTATTCATGAAGACTCATGTCTTACTATGGAGACTCA